TAAATAATAATAATAATAATAATAATAATAATAATAATAATAATAATAATAATAATAATAATAATAATAATAATAATAATAATTATTATTATTATTATTATTATTATTATTATTATTATTATTATTATTATTATTATTATTATTAATTTGGGCTGAAAGACGAGCTTTCATTTTTACCAGGGACGGTGCCCGGCCGGGTTAGATACGCGCGGGAAAAGAGCTAATGTGACCTGCTCTCGCCGTAAAAAAAAAAAACATGCAAAAATGTGCAAATTTTATTCCGTCCGTGTAATGCCCTTCACCTTGGTATATACAGCAGTGCATGAAGAACAGGAGAATTTTTAAAAATCAGGAGAAAATGAAGACGCTTCTGCAGTCGAGGCGTTTGTGCTAATGATGGAAGCGGGGAATAAAGAGGGGGGGGGAATGGTGATTTCTCCCGATGAAATGCAGCGTTCTTTAAAAACAATAAGAGTTGCGACAGAAATTAGCTCCGACAACAAGCTTAAATTAACGAGGCCCCTGTGGGCCTTAACACTTGCTGCGACTGGCAGGGGGGCACTGTATTCGAATCCCTTACAGTCAGTTCTTTGATGTAGCCTCCAGAGGAATCCCGCTCCTGTGTTGGTCTGCGCGCACCGGCGCTTGTGTGTTGTCTCCGCAGCCCGCCACCGTGAGCCACGGGTGTGTGTGTGGGGGGGGCAACTTTTAAGACCCGCGGAATTCAGCTCCCGGAATTCCCCAGGCAGCCAGCCACAGGAGGAGGGGATGGGAGTCGAAGGAAATCAAAATCAGGCGGAAGTATTTCGTAGCGCTTTAGAAAGCCTTAGTAAGGCCACATCTGGAATATTCTGCCTCCAGTTCTGGTGGCTACATTACAAAAAAGAGGTTGGAAAAAGTGCAAAGAAGAGCAGCTGATTTGATCCAAGGCCTGGAGACTCAAACAGACGAAGAACGGTTGCAGGACTTGGGGATGGCCAGTCTAGAGAAAAGAAGGACGAGGGGGGACATGATAACAGCGTCCCAGTATTTGAGGGGCTGCCACAAAGAAGAGGGGGGTCAACTTATTTTCCAAAGGGTTTGGAAACAAATGGCAGATGGACAGAAGGAAGGAAGATGGGAGGGAGGGAGGGAGGGAGAGAATGGGAAGGAAGAGAGGAAGGAAGGGGGGGGGGAGGGAGGGAAGGAGGATAGGAAGAGGGCATAAAGGCAGGC